ATATATATATATATATATATATATATATATATATATATATATATATATATATATATATTATGTCGAAATAATTGCGATCACCAAGAGGGGATAAAATATTTATAAGCAATTAAAAAGTTTAAAAACAATTGGAGGGGGAGAGGAAGAAATTATGTTGAACTCAATGGGGAGGCTCGGCAAAGGAAAAACTGTCCGGGAATCCGTCAAAAGTCATAAGATGAAGAACTCCCATAGAGCGTGTAAAGGGGGCGAAGGATCTCCGTACAGCATGAATAAGGGCGCGAAAGAAACGGTAGAAGGTGGGCCGGAACGTGCTGGGGTTGCAGGAGAACGGAACGAAAGGTATAATGAAAGATCGGGGGACGTATGTGCCTCCGTGAATGAAAGAGGTTGGGAAGTGATAGATCGAGGAAAGGAATGGGGTGGATGGATGGATGAAAGACCCCATGGAGGCATGAATAAAGGGGCAGAAACAGTGGAGTATGGGAGGGTCCATGGGAGAGGGGATGATGGTAGTGGAATGGTAGCATTAGGGATGATAAGAGGAGAGTGGTTGCAACAAGAGGGTGGGTTGGATAAAGGGAATTTGAGGACAAATAGGGACGGGGTGAATGTATGCTGTGGGAATGGAGAGAGAGTGTGGAATGAGCCGCAAGGAGAGGAGGCAGGAAACACACGAAGTGTTGCAACCGGAGGTAGAGAAGAAGGGATCAATCTAGACTCAATGGGGAAGGATTACGAAGGTAGAGCACACGGCTCCCCGCGAGTAAGTGGAATCAAGCAATCCCATAATAAGAGAGCCGATTGCAGGATGGGTAAAGGCCCCAGTGGAATTCGCAAGGGGGATGAAGGACCTTTAGACGGTATAGACGAGGGCGTGAGAGGGGTCGTGGAAGGTGGGGTGGGGAGAGCTGGGTATACAGGAGAATGCAGTGAATGGCGTGATGGAAAATCGAGAGATACATGGGCCTTCGGGAATGAAAGCAGTAGGGAGGCAATAGAACGGAGCGGATGGAGGAATGATAGTTTGAAGGATGCCAAGACCCCAGTGAGCGACAGAGAGTGGGAGCAAATGGAAGGGATGGTGGGTGGGGGATTGTTGCGACAGGAGGGGTGGTACGGAGGGAGTTGGAATGCGAGTAAGAGTGGGGTGAGCGTTTGTTGCAAGGATGGAGGGAGAGTGTGGAAGAAGGTATTAGGGGAGGAAATAGGAGAGGCACGCAATGGCGCGATTGGAGGGGGAGAGGAAGAAATTATGTTGAACTCAATGGGGAGGCTCGGCAAAGGAAAAACTGCCCGAGAATCCGTCAAAGGTCATAAGATGAAGAACTCCCATAGAGCGTGTAAAGGGGGTGAAGGATCCCCGTACAGCGTGAATAAGGGCGCGAAAGAAATGGCAGAAGGTGGGTCGGAACGTGCTGGGGTTGCAGGAGAACGGAACGAAAGGTATAATGAAAGATCGGGGGATGTACGTGCCTCCGTGAATCAAAGAGGTTGGGAAGTGATAGACCGAGGAAAGGAATGGGGTGGATGGATGGATGAAAGACCCCATGGAGGCATGAATAAAGGGGCAGAAGCGGTGGAGTATGGGAGGGTCCATGGGGGAGGGGATGATGGTAGTGGAATGGTAACATTAGGGATGATAGGAGGAGAGTGGTTGCAACAAG